TCTCGGAGGTGTTCAAACTGCTGGAGCTACTGGTGTAATGACAACCATGTCACCAGTGCCCCAGCAGTCACCAGCACAAAGAAAAACAAACAAAAACAAAAACAAAAACCTCTACCTGGAAGATGCCTGGGTTCTTCCCAGGAATTAGGGAAAGTATTGCAGGGAATGGACGGTTGTTCTTGGATGTCTTCTTTTCTGGCTAGTGCCCTTGTTGAAGAAGCAAGGCCATGTGCGCTTTTCCTCCATTACAGTTGCAATGACACTCAAGTTCTCCCCATATTAGTTCCCTGATGTTTTACCAACCTTAAGTGTGCTGGCTGCAGCTAGACCTGGCACCCTCAAGTCTGTCCATCTTGTTTCTGGGAGAACAGCTGCTGCAGTGATGCAGGTTTACAGGGTGACCAGGAATGGGAAGGGGCCTGGGGAGGAGGCTGATAGAAACAGGTGCAGACAGAACAGAAAGAAGACTGACATGGGTCCAGGTCAGGAATCAGAGAACCCTGGGTTACGCTGAGATTTGTTCAAACTGACATCAGAAAGCTTCTGCTAGTCTTGGTACTCATGCCCTAAGGTTAGGCACACTTATGTGCTGTTGACACTTTTATTTTATTTTAATCTGATTTTTGACTGTAGTTACAACCATGTCATCAGTGCTAAGGACTTTGGCATTGCTGCACACAGAGCTCTAGAACTTGATGCCCATCAATACTAATTCCCTCCTCCCTGCTCCCAGCCCCTTGCATCCACTGGTTTCTGCTTCCGCTTCTGCAACTTTGACTTCTTGAGACACTCTGTATGAATGACCTCCCAAGGTGGATTCTTTCGTGGCTGCTTACTTCATTCGGCTTGACGCCCCTGCAGCTCACCACATGTGTTGTGGTGGGCAGCAGGGCTTCCTTCCTTTCAAAGCTGGGTAATATTCCTGTGAATAGCAGTTTCTTTTCCTGTTCACCTTTCCACTGGGATTGCTTCCACTTGGCTGTGGTGAAAACAAACGTGCAAAACACAGCCTTCCGCAGCCTGTTGCCCCTGGGGCCCTGCATCCCTGACCCTCCTGCCAAACTGTTGAGGGGCCTGTTCACTGCAGCCTCCTGCTGACTTTTCTGTCCTGGTAGCTAGTCTACTGTGTGAGGTGGTAGACTTGTGGCTCCGCCCTGCTTGTGTCCACCGTTAGTGAGGCCCAGCACTGTCGTGTGCTTGGTGGCCCTTTTGTGTCTTCTTTGGTCAGTCACCTGCTCAAGACCCTGCCGTCTTGTGATGTGATTCTTCGTGCTCTGCAGGTATCTGTGCTGTGGATTCATGCAGGTAACTGGGTTAGTGAAGATTTGGTGACTTTCCCCCATAAGTGGCACACAGGCGTGGGGTCTGGGGTCTGATGGGAGTAGGAGAAGTCGCACAAAAAAGAAAGATCATCTTTGAGACCCACCTGGCTCAGGCTTCTCCACGGCTCCCACGTGTCCAACTGGAAGGTCAGTGTGAGGCCCGTCTGTGCTCCGCCCTCAGCCACTGCTCCAGAGTCCACCCTCTCTAGGCAAATCGCCTGGACAGAAGCCATGACCTGCAGTTTTGCACAGGAACCTGGGGATGCTACTCAGGAATCCTTGCAGGTACTGTCCATGATGTTGACCACCTGGGTTTCTTAAGGCTTTTTCTTTCTCAGCACCAAAATACTGTGCACTGGAGTGAAGGTGGGTTTTATGCCTTGTGAGTATTTGTGGGATAGTCAAGAGAAAGAGAGCTCTTAATTCCGTAAGAGATTCCACAGTAGTTAACTCATGTGATACAAATGACTCCAAGGGGAAATGTGGATATTTTAGAGAAATTTAAACTTTTGTTTTTGCTTTAATATCTTATAAGGTAGTGATATGAAGCCCACATGCAGATACAATTTATTTGCAAAACAGCTAGCTTACTGTTATTTCAATTATATTTGACATGTGTACTGTACTCTAAGAATATAAAAATAAAACATCTCTCTGTAGACCACTTATAAATATTCTTAAAAAAAATAAACTTCATGTAATTGCTCTTGAATTTTGGCATGAACACATGTTGTTTTAAAATGACCATAAAACTCTTTTTCCCTGGTGCCTACTTTAGGAAACTATAAACTTATAATTCACCAATTATTTTAGCACAACTGACGTGTCTTGTTAATTGCCTTAATCATTAAACAAAGTATCAGGAAAGCCATCTTCATTCATCAGAAAGACCATGGAGTGTCAAACATCACTTCATAATCTTCCTATGTATAGGACCACAGTACTTTCCAGTTGGTTTGGAAATACATGTGAGCATAAAGAAAAACGGCACTTCCTTCAAGTCTTATGAATTAAAATGTGAGATTATGCTGTACATTATAATCTTTAAGTAACGTTTTAAAGCTATCCTCCCCCCACATTTAAAAATCTTCATAAATATTATCATGTAATATTACAAATTCCTCCTTGTGCTGAACCATTTTTAATTAATGTGCTAATGACTTATTTCCATTTTTTGCTACTACATGAGACACTGCCATACGTATCTTTGTGCTTAGAGTCTTCCTGTAGCATCCCACTTGCCAAGAGAAGTTTCTAAACACTGTCAGACTATCATAAAGCTTTGTACACACACACACACACACACACACACACACATACCTGACCAAATTGTTTCTTTAAACAAGTTGCACAGATTTGTTCAACACCAGTAGAAGCAAATATCCGCAGTGAGCATCATGGGATGCTGGCCTTGGGTTTCACCCATCCTTCAGAAGCCACAGTGACTACCCAGGGCACCTCCCAGCCCTTGCTGCTCAGGTCCCTGTGTGAAGTGGCCAAGTGCTCACATGTGACCTCTGTAGATTCAGGCCCCTTGTGAAGGGGCCAGTGTCACATGTGACCTCTGTGGGTCCTGCACACTGCTGTCTCTTGCTTGCCCACAACATCTGGCACAGCACAGGTATCATGGAGACAGTGGTCACCCTGCACTGTCAGGGATAATGGCAAGAAACACATGCACGCTCAGTGCAGATTCAGGTCTTCACAGCATTTTGGATCCATGTTGGTTTGACCTGGGTGGACACCTGCGCTGTGCAGCTGGTGTGGCTATGGCTGTGGCTACGGCTGTTCACAGCATGCAGGTGGAACAGCCCCAACCCACAGGTTCCCAAAGGCTCTTTCAGATTCCCAAACCCAAACTAGTAGATATTCACAAAATAATACCCATGGCTTCTGTCTTAGATTAATTTTATTTCACAATTTTATGAAATCGGGTTTCTTTCTCAATGCACCTTGCTGGTCTGGAATAGAAGATGACTCAGTATTTCCAGGACCCTGTGTCTTGGTCAGTCGGCCTGTGATTCCATGGGACAAACTACTCCCTCCACTCCAGGAGCAGAGGCCCTGGCTCTCTTGTGCACACACATTGCTGATCTCCAGTCTCACTGTGGTAGCTCACTCACAGTTTAACTGGCTTTTTTTTCTTTTACCATCTGGGTAATTTTCATTTTCCATTTTTTTTTAGGGGGAGGGGTACCAGGGATTGAATCCAGGGGTGCTTAACCACTGAGTCACATCCCCAGATCATTTATATTTTTATTTTGAGACAAGGTCTCACTAAGTTGTTTAGGGCCTCATTAAAATTGCTAAGGCTGGCCTTGAACTTGTAATCCTCCTGCCTCAGCCTCCCAAGCTTCTGGGTTTACAGGTGTGAGCCATTATGCCTGTAACTCTCTTCCACCCTTTCCCCTCTTCCAGTCATTCACATTCTCATTCAACCTCTCTTCATGCATTTTTGAATGTGTGCATTACTTCTTTTGAGCCACTGGAGAGACAGCTGGGGACACAGGTGTCTTTATCCCCAGAACCCTAAATGGACATTTCTTAAAAGTAAGAATTTAGAGTGGAGGGGTATGTTTTTCCCTAAGGAAACATGACAAATCACCCCAACTTAGTGTATTGGACACTTTCCTGTGCTCTGGGAATCAGGGTCCTGCACCAGCCTGCCATACAGTTGCATGGGGACTATGGCCCCTCTGAGGACCTGGCAGATCTGTCTGAGTTTGGCCCTAGGCTCTCGGATGCTCAGTTGGCCATCATAGAAAGAACCCAACTTCTGCCCAGAGAATTATGTCTTCTCCAGGGAAGACAATCCAGCTCTCTCGTGACACTCCACTGGAAGTAGTTGTGGTGCAGTGTGTTCTCAGAAGCCTGGACTCCAGGGTTCTGCCCCAGCCACAACTGAAGTACCTGGCAGTTCCAAGGCCCAGTCTGCCCACTGCCCACAGGGCTCACAATAAAAGCCAAATAATATATATTTTTTTTGCCACAACACATCCTGCAGAATTAGATGATTTGAGCTTTATGTTATGAGAAACAACAAAAACTAATAATACTTTTAAAAACTTGTGATGAAGGCACATTTCTATTCCTGTGTTATTTAATTGGAATGCTCGTCTCCGTGCTTAGGCCCAGTCCTGGCAGACCTGGGGTACATTGTGGCTCCCCTTCCTTGACAGGGACAAGGAGTCTTTGGAAGAGTGGAATGACTTGCTCAAAGTGTGAATCATCCCTTATACTTTCCTGCCAGTGTACAAGAGAAGCTGATGCTCTGCGGCTTGGGCTTCCCTGCCGCTTCCCCAGATTGAACAGCTTGATGCATTTGCAGAGCAGCCCGTGTCTGCGTGAGGGTGGGCGCTCACCACAGCCCGATCCTGCTCAGGACTCACTGTGTGGAGAGTATGAGCTATGCCACTAACAGACCAAACACATTCACGTCTGTCCACATGAACACAGAACTTACTGAATAACAGGGAATTCATAAGCTGCACAACTTGCAGTGGTGGCAGTTTTCCAGATACTTGCCCAAACCTGGTAGTTGTCAACTGGGCAGTCACAGGTTCTGTAATCCAATTTTAGTGTCCAGTATCTATGACTCTCAAGTCACACCCACACTTTATACATCATCTATAAATAAATCACAGAAAGACTCAGGAAGGACTAAAACAACCACATGGTCACAGGACGCTGAGCCAAGAGCAGAGGCAGAGGGAGAGATGAGCAGAGTCAAAGAGCTGCTGTAGGTGGTCAGCTCTGCAGAGAGTCTAGATGGTCCAGTTTCAGCTTCAGGTGTCAGCTTAGAGTGGCTGTGCTTGGTGTTCATGGGCAGGAGCAACCTCTCTGCTGAAGCCTGATGAGACAGGAATCTGGAGATTCTTCACTATGTCAGTCTCCCTGGGCACACCTTGAGATGAAACACCAGGTAACTGATGAGGTCAGGGTCCCACCATGTCCAGTTTGGGAAGGCTCCTCCTTTTATGGCTGTTAGGCGAGGGGGTTGCATCTGGTAAGGTTGATTAGCTGTGGTGTCTGGTGTTCCTGATATGATTTGGGAATTTAATTTCTTAATTTAATTTGATAAATTCATGGGTATAAGTTTTTTATCAATTTGTGCCTTATGGTGGTGCTAGGCAGATGGTGGTTGTTTAATTATATAAACAGGTGTAGAATCGTCCCACCTTGGCACATGTACTCAAAATGGAGTAGCTTGTGGCAAATTTTTGTTTAATAAAATGGAATAACTCAGATTTAGGCATAGTCTGAAAACTGTTGTTCTATATATGATAGAGTCACTCACAGCACGTACAGCCTGAGAGCTACGGACCATGGAGATATTCAGAATAGGCACAGCCTAGGAACTGCTCTTCTTCATATCATGGAATCACTCAGGGCAGGCACAGCCTGGGAACTACTCTTCTTCATATCATGGAGTCACCAAGGCAGGCACAGCTTGGGAACTGCTGTTCTACACACCATGGGGTTACTCAGGGCAGGCACAGCCTGAGAACTGATTTCTTTCTACACACCATGGAGTCACTAGGGCAGGCACAGCCTGAGAGCTGCTGTTCTACACACCATGGAATCACTCAGGGCAGGCACAGCCTGGGAACTACTCTTCTTCATATCATGGAGTCACCAAGGCAGGCACAGCTTGGGAAATGCTGTTCTACACACCATGGGGTCACTCAGAGTAGACGCAGCCTGGAATTGCTGTTCTGTACACTATGGAGTTACTCTGAGCAGGGCCTGGGCTTCTTCCACACCATTTTGTTGTATATTATTCTGCGCTTTCTTGTTTGTTTCATGTACTCTGATTCTATAAGCAGCACTCCTGCAGGTGACCAGGCAGCAAGCACAACACTGTGCTAGATGATTTGAACAGAGGGCACTGACATTTGGTGACAGGTGCAGCCTCCTGGGCCACAAGACCCATCCTGACCTACCTGCTTCTGCCTCTAGAGCTCCTGATTCCTGTGGTGTGTTTCCCTCAGCCTTGCAGAGCAGTGTGTGACCCTTTAGGTTTAGCCCGCTGTGGCTTTGCTGGGCCTGAACAGACGTGCATTGGACATTGAGCTTCCTTCTAGGCACAGTGCCACATAGCATATGAGGGAATGGATACTGTGATTTTTATTCAACTAAAAGGAAACTGACATTCAGGCTTCTGGGGTCTGGGGCCTGGTGAGGGGCTCCTCAGGTCTTTCCTCTGTCCACTTTTCACAGGGAGTCCAGCCACCGCCTGGTGAGATTCTTTTTCCAAACATGGGCAAGCTGAGGGCACTGGAAGGACACAACTTCTCCACCATCCTCCTCCCTGAACCAGAACCCTGCAGGAGAGTCTGAACCCCTCTCCTTGCATTGGGGTGTCCAAGGACTCCATCAACTCCAAACATCAAGGTAAAGATGTTCTCCACCCCTGTGTGCTCACAGCTGATGGCCCAGCAAGGGGCATGCTGACCCTCACAAAGTCAGGCAAGAGGCTTGCTGGCCCAACAGCTGTGAGTCCCAACTCCACTGTGGCTCGACAAAATGTGCACCCCCAAGACCCCAGTGTTCTGGAGAAGCTATTTACATGACTGTAAGCCCCAAGTGACCTTAAATTCTAAATAAAAGTTCCACAGGCAATTTGTATAAGAGGCTTGTTTTTAAAGAAAATAAATTACATGACAGGATTATTGTATGTATTACAAGCTGGCCAGAGAACACTTTACTCAACATTTAAAAATCTTTAAATAAGAGCTTTCAGTACATAGAGCTTATATAACAAGATCTCGCAAAAATCTGTAAAACCTAAACACAGTTCTGAGAGCAACGATCGTTCCAGAGCCGGCACTCAGCTCCCAGGGCAGCAATGCCGGCACACAGGCTGCAGCCTTGCCTTGTGCTGCCTCAGGACAGTTCGGAGAACTTGCAAAGCTGTGCTGCCCTAGAAGGTGGCCAGGGCATCTGCTAAGGCTCGGTGTCAACAAGGCCCCGCTTGTGCATCTAAACTCAGCCAGAATCGAAGCCTGGTGGCTCCACTCCTCGGCCTTTGCGTGGACCTTTTGTCTGGAGCATGGCTCCACATGTTCTTTCTGAATCTCGTACTTTTACCCATGGGAGAAATAGGCAGCCAGAGGCTGAGGGTGCTGATCTGATCTTCAGAGGAGTCAGGGAGCCTCCACCTCATTCTTACCCAGCTGGGGCTTGTTAAGTGCACATACATTCGAAACCACAGTCTTTGATAATCCAACCTGCCCTGGACACTCGGCTGAAAGCTTTTTAGAGGGGGTCGCAGAATTTCAACTTGTTTTATTTTTACGCATTTCCCAAGCAGATCATCTTAAAGATCAAGAGGACTTTGTCCCATTCAGTGAAGAACTTACAGCAGTGGGACAATGGTGGGATGTCTGAGCACAGCTCCGAAGGGTGCCCGGGGAAGCATGGTGAGGAGCACCAGGTCCAGGGAAAACACAGCAGGGCTCTGCACGCTGAAGCAGAGCCAACCTCAGGGGCAACTCCCCCTTCACTGGCCAGGAGGCCTCAATATGTTTGGATGCAGGAGGCGCCAGGCATGGAAAGTCCTCTGCCAGTGTGAGTCCAGCCAGGCAGCTGCTGGAGGGCACTGTGCAAGGACCCATGCCCTCTCTGACACGAGGTGCACAGTCTAAGCAGGAGGTTCTCAGTGGGCTTAGCACAGCCTCAGTGGGATGCACAGACAGGAGGCCATGCTCACTGTCTCTGAGCTTGCTGAGGGGAGCCATTCCTCTATCCTCAAGACATTAATATTCGGGCGGGCATTCAGGGACAAGTGTAGGGAAGCCATTCCCAGGCACCTACTCCATCTGCGCACTGCACACTTTCTTTCTTTCTCTCCTGAAGCTGTTCTCTCACTTCCTGGAGCTACACGCAGAAAGGAAAGGTAAATTATTATGGTTTGGATGTGAAGTGTCCCCCAAAAGCTCCTATGTGAGACAATGCAAGAAAGTTCAGGGAAGAAATGATTGGATGGTAAAAGTCTTAACCAAATCAGCGACTCCATCCCCTGATGAGATTAACTGAGTGGTGATTGAAGTGGTGGGGTGTGGCTGGAGGAGGTGGAATTAGGGAGTGGCTTTGGGTATATATTTGCATCTGGAGAGTGGAGTCTCTCTGCTTCCTGATCACTGGATTGTGGGCTGCTTCCCTCTGCCACATACTCCTCCGTAACATTCAGCCTCATCTCGAGCCCTGAGAAATGAAGCTGGCCTTCTACGGACTGAGACCTCTGAAACTGTGAGCCCTCAAATAAACTCTTTCTTTTCTATAGTTGTTCTGGTCAGATCCTTTAGTCACAATAGGGGAGAAGCTGACTAAAACAGAGATCATTTGTGCACGGGCCATAGGCGTCCTATAGGGCTTGGCTGGGCTCAGCAGCACTGGGTCGCTAGCATGCAGTGGCATGCAGCCCCAAGCAAGACATTAAGGCCCCAGCAGAAGCCAGGCACACACCACCAGTGCCAGGCTACCTGTATACCCTTGGCTTGTGTGTGCACACATGCATGTGTGTATGAGTGTGTGCACATTCATTCGAGGGTATGTGTGTATGAGTATGTGAGTGTATGAGTGTGTCATGTGAGACAGTGTGAAGGCATGCACAAGTTATTACATGCATATATGTGCATGTGAGTGTATGTTTATGTGAGAGTGTGAATGTGTGTGCAAGTGTGTAATGTTCACACAAGAATGTACATGAGTGTGTGAGTGTGCATGTGGGTATGTGTTCATGTGAGAGTGTGGAGAGTCTGTGTGTGTGTGTGTGTGTGTGTGTGTGTGGTCCACTTGCTGGTCTCCAGAAGTGTCCTCAGAAGCAGGCCTTTCCCTGGCTGTGTGTGGTGTATGTGGCGTAAATTCACTTCAGCTTCTGAGCATGAACCCGCATGGTCTTCAGGCCTCACCTTCATGACTTTCCTTCACATCTGGAAGATTTCAAGTTTTTCTTTCTTGGATGAGATGTTCCTCGGGCCAGCTGGAGACTGTCTATGTGGTGTTCTCCAGTTCCATGGCTCCATGACTTCTCCCCACGTGGATAAGCCTTGTATTTGCGTTGTCGCCTCCTTCACCTCTGCCTACCTGCCACCCTTTCAGCCACTCTCTTCCTGCTGCCTCTGCCTCAGGAACCCCCATGGCTGGGTCCCCTTGGCTCTGGAGTAACTGAAGCTGAGCTCTGGGTCCAGGTGATCTGGTCCTGGCTCTTTCTCCACCAGGCATCCAAAGTAGAGTTCAAGCAAGTAGTTTCATTTATTTGGTCTTAGATTTCTTGAGAGCTTGTTTGGAGGTTCTAGCAGGGGAGCGCAGCTACTCGTATACCCTTGACCGAAGAACGGTCCTCCTCTATTGGGGAAGGTCGTCCTCTTCGACCGAGCGCGCAGCTTCGGGAAGGACGCACATGGAGCGGTGAGGGAGGAAGGGGACACCCGCCTAGCCAGCCAGATCAGCCGAATCAACCCTGGCGATCAATGGGGTGACAGACGTCGCAGCCAGATCGCCCTCACATCCAGGTCTTAGATTTCTTAACAATTTTATTTTTCTGATTTATAATTATAGAATTGCTTAAAAATCAAACAAAATAAGGTATCTCGATGTGTCTCACAACCCCTAAAGCCCAATAAATGCACAATGTCTTGCTATTAAAATAAAACCCAATATTTTGCTACTGGGAAGAACGCAGAATGGCCTGCCATTATTACGTAATTACAAAATCTCCCACTGCTTGCTTCTTCCTTGGTTGCTACCAGATTTTGAGTCAATTCTGTTTTTTTTTTATTTTTCAAAAACTCTTGAACATGTGGACCTGCTGATTTTGAATCCATTGCTGATCTTTGGCTCTCAGAATACTTCATCCTAACAATTAAAACATAGCAAAATGTTGCACTTGTGTCCATAAGTGAACTGTCATGCAAAGCATGCTTATTTCTGAGGCTGTTGGTTCTCCCAGTGGGTCCATCTCAGCCTTGTTCTCTTAAACATTTGGTGTCCTCTTGGTGGCTGAGTTGGCAGTGATATAGTAATAGAGGATAGAGTCTGCCTGTGAGTTCAAAGCTTCTCTCAAGGTTCTGTCTGGGGGTTGATTTCCCAGATACGGTGAGTGATGTATTTGTCCTGGATGGCTCGCTCCTGTGGAGCAGGGCTTTCCTCCTCAGGGGAGGAGGGGACTTGACTGTGAGTGTGGAACTCCACTGCAGGCTGGGGTGGCTAATGGGGACAGGTGAGGTAGGACTGTTCAAGAGGCAGGCAGGAATGCCGGCTTGGGGTCAAGTGCTCCCACACTGCCTGCCCTTGCATCCCTGTGCCAGGGAGGCCCCTTCCTCTGCAGCATTAGTTACAAGTCACCTTCCAGCCCTGCTTGCCACTCTCCCACCTGCTGATGGCCAGACCACATGGTGTGGTTCTCGGGAGAGGAGGGAGATGCCATTGGTCTGCCATGTTTGACTTGGGAAGATTTCACCTAAAAATGTCAAATTTGGGAGAGGGTTTAAAAATATCCAGTAACCTAATCATTGGGGTTTTATTTATCTATTATTTTATTTATTAATTATTTACCAGTGCATACTGGGGATGGAACCCAGGGTCTCATGCCTGGTAGGCAAGTGCTCTACTACTTAGGTGCCCCTATTGCCCCATCTGAATATCTTAAGGTTCCAGACTCTTGAAAGAGGTGATAGAGGCATAATTAATTATTTTGCTTCTGCTTTGTTTAAACATATTATGCCGAGTTTTTGTGGTAATAGTCACACTCAAAAAGTACAGATCAGATTTTGTGATGGGTTTTTTGAAGAAACATATTAATTACTCTTCAATATCTCAAGGTTGTGACCACATTTTATTTGAGATAAAATGCATTGTTTCTCTACATAAATTAAGATATTGCACTGTGAAAACCAATTTATTATTTGGGGGTTCTTATATCTTTGTTGGTATTCTTTAACTTCTTATTCAAGAAAAAAAAATGACTTGACATTTGACCTTCTACTCCTGTTCCGCACCTCACTGGGTCTGGGAGGAATGGGCTCCTTTGTTACAGAAAGGAAGGGAGAAAGTCGCAGGTTCTGCTGGGGCCCTGTTTTGGGAAGAACAAAGAGGGTCACAAGTTTTTTGGTTTTTTTTGTGTGTGTGGTCAGAATTTTTATTCTATACACAAGCTTCTCTCTGGTACTGAGCATCCCTCCTGCTGTGGGTTCCTCTGCAAAGGCTGACTAATTATGACTGCCAGTGTCCAGGGCTAGTGCGCACCTTGTCTCTCATCCCTCCCTGCTGTGTTGTACATGTGATTCCAGAGGTGCTGTGACGCAGAGAAAAGCCCACATAAATACAATCACCCGATGTCAGACAGAGGTGTCAAAACAAACTTGGAGAAAAGATAGCCTTAAACAAAAGGT